GACAGAAGATTATACGTGTGTAGTGGGAGGGGGAAGACAGAAGATTATACATGTGTAGTGGGAGGGGGAAGACAGAAGATTATACGTGTGTAGTGGGAGGGGGAAGACAGAAGATTATACATGTGTAGTGGGAGGGGGAAGACAGAAGATTATACGTGTGTAGTGGGAGGGGGAAGACAGAAGATTACACGTGAGGGGGGAGGGAGGAGACAGAAAGGTACACGTGTGTAGGTGATGAGGGGTGCTGTTGTTAGATTATTAAATTGCTGTGTATTATCAATATGTGGAATGGAAACAATAAATCTTGGAATGTTGATCTCTTAGTTACCATAATTTAATTTAATTATTTCCCTGTAATTGTACCTAATTATACTTTCATTTTATGTTAACTCACATTTCCTTCCTTTCTGTTTTACCACATGTGATCATTCTTGTCTGTGAGGCTAGAGAGGCCAGACCTCATGTCACTATTTCATATGTGCTGAAGAAATGAACCTCCATCAGACAAAGAGTCTTTATTTTATTTTGCCTACTTGGTGGTTATAAACAACAATAGCAGTAATTCCCATTGCAACAGTTCTGTGGTGAGAGAAAGTTTCAAAGACAAGGACTGAATTTTTGGAAATATAACAAAACATTCTCGAAATTTACACTCAAACAAGCCTCATTCTTGGAAATCTGCTAGAGCCAATCTAGAAGGATAAACTGTTAATATCGAAATAGTATATGTGTATATTTGCATGAATGCATAAATATATTACAAACTAGACTATCTCACTTATCCATCTTGATATACAGTTTACAAACAGGAACAAACCATGATGTTTTGTCATTATTGAAATTAAAACAAACATAAGAAATGATTATTTACATTAAGTTTCAAATCTACTTTTGAAAGATATATTATATCAAACTGCATTGCACCTACAGTCATATTGTATGGTAGTGTGTGCTTTGGAAATAATCTATATTAGGCCCTACAATAATAATAATAATTGTTTCAAAGTAAAGAGCAAACCAAACTACCTTCAAAACCAACAAATTCCCACCACATGAAAGCTAAAAAAATCTGTGCACAAAAAAAAACCTAACCCACGTGTTCTTTCGTTTGTTCTTTATAAAAATGGCAGAGAAACTCATTACTCCGGTAAGTAAAGTAATCAAACGACAGTTTGACAGTGTATGTGAAATTGATAAAAACCAAAATGTCTCCCTACACCCACAAAGGGGAATCATATAAATTGAAAGGGCTTAAACTGGATGTATTATATATTTAAAAAACACTTCCTACAGCACAGCACACATGGTGAGTGTGTTTTCCGCACAGAATATGAGCCACTCTGTAAAATTACTGAACACTATAATGATCATTATTTTCCATTATGTCCTTTTTTGTTGTTTAAATTTGGTATAATTCAATTAGTACCTAGAAAAGATCATGACCATTCCTTTCTTCTCCTTAAGAGAAGGAATTTCCGAAGAAACAGTTCACCTATCAGAAACTCATTCATATAAGTATATATTATTATACATTATTACTTCCTGTCAATCTGAGAATGTCACTGTATTAGAAGCAATGAAAACACTCAAAGTGCTTGAGTCTTTAAGACTCTTGATCTCTGTTCACACAACAAGTTTACTACCAGTGCAAAATTTTTCATAAAAAACAACTTGAGATATATGAGGTGAATTGAGCTGGAGACCATCAACAGTCTATGATACCTTTAACAAAGCTCAAACCAAGCACCAAAAAAGAAGCAATGAGTTTTTCTCACCTTCTGGAGTAGACCAAACATAAAGAACGTCAGTCTCGTGTCATAATCGTCAGGAGCACGTTCCTCTGATGTCATATCTCATGCTGCGGGTGTCTTCTGTTGTTCCTGTTTTCCTCTTCAGAGTTCAGAGGATTGTCAGTTCAGTGGTATTTGATTGACTGAGTAGGTGTTTTACGGCATAATCGACTCAATGTTGGTCAGTTCAGTGGTATGTGTGTGCGTAGTTGTGCCTTGGTAACAAGAGAAGAATCCTTTACTTAATCATTCCAACATTTTGTGCAGATGTAAACTCTTGCTCAGAGGTTGATGTACAATGACCTGCCATTTTTCGACGTCGCTGGCTGTTCTCGAACATTCTGTTTCTATCCTATTTTATCCCAATCCATACTTTGATGTTTGTTGGTCCACCTTGCGTGTTGCCCATCTTTAGCCCTTGTGCCCCACATCTTCTTTCGAGAACTTCCTTCTTAAAGGCTTGGTGGTGTCTTATATGTCCAGAGTATTGTATCTTTCTACTTTTCATTTTGCTTCATAGCTAGTGCTCAAAGGGCATCCGTTTTGTAATACGCTGGAACACAGACAACATTTAGTTGTAAATTGTTAACTTTTTTTCTTTTTCATAGTTTTCTTTTCCCACTTTGAGCTCACAAAAATGACAAGCTTCTGACGTGAATGTGTTCTGTTGGGGGGTTTTTGTCATAGATGGGTAAAATTCTTTTCCTCCAAGTGGCAAGTCTAGTTCAGAGCTGGCCTCACAATGGACATTATGGAAAACTCTGTTCCTCCATCATTCCCAGCACCTTCCACTGACATATCATCCTGGCTATATCTCCTTGGTCATTTGTTGTGGCCTTTTTAAAGCTTATTGTCCTCTGAAAAATCATTTTGCTGTCTTTCTGTTACAATGGCACTACTTAAATTGTTTTGACTTAAATTGTCAAGTTTGGAAACATGTTTTCTGTTGGATTTTTAAAATCAGTACAATTCAGAACCTTGTGTTTTTTCTGTACTGAGGAGAAAGTAGCGGTGTCTCTGTAATATCCCAAGTGCAGATCTATGTGACAGTAATTCTTTTCATCTAGAATGACATTTTGTTGTTGTAAGAAAAGACGAGTTTCTATGTTGACGATGGAATGTTCACATCTCAATCCTGTCAGAGTATCACAGCCGTGGATGTCTCAAAAACAAAACAAACAGCTCTGATGCCAGCAGTCATCTTGAAGATTCCCACACCCTTAGTGTTCTAAGAAGAAAAAAAAACTAAAGCAAGGGAATGGGTCAAGTTGGGCATATTAGAGGACCAGCTCATCGCAATCCTAATCAACTTCCAAAGGAAACAATTCGTCCACAACACTTTATGAGGACACTGGAGGAAGTGATGAGCAGCTGGGGATACCAGCTCTGGAACTGAGCAAACCAGCAAGTCATTGAAGTATCTTTGCTTCTGTGGCTAATCTGGGGTAAAGATATCCAGCAATCAAGAAAGCCATCGAAGTACCTTTGGTTTAGGGGTAAACCTGGTGAGAAGATACCGAGCAACAGAGCAAGTCAATCAAGCATCTTTGGTTCTGGGGTGAACCTGGTGTGAAGACACTCATGGGGGTGTATCTTCCATATGCCTTGCTCATTGTCTCCCACGAGCAGGAAAATACTGAGTCTTGTCATATGTCTGGAGGTCTCATCTACCTCTCTCCTCCCCTCACCAGCAGTGTTGAAGCTGGTAAAATTATGTTTCAATTATCAATAAAATCAAGTCAGTTGTGCGCGTCAGACTAGAGAGCCATGGACTTCATCAAAAGACTCGTACCCAGCGTAACCTGGGTAGTCCGGCTCAGGGACAAAGGCTGGGTTGTCTCCGCCATACATGGGGGGAGGGGGGATTATGCCATTTCCAACTCCTGAAGGGTTCCGCCTCACGCCCTTCAAGGGAGAAGGTTGTTTCTGTCTCTGTGGCTTGGGAGGAGGGTCTCCACGCTGTCGGCCAACCTGAGTCACGTCCGGCTGCTTACCTCCCCTAGGAGCAACCACTTTACCTTTGGGCGGGCCTCGAGCCGAGATGTCTGAGCTGCTAGGTGAGTCTCTGTCAATGTCCGACAATCGTAGGTCAGACATTGGTCGCCACATGTTCAGTCCATTAAAACCTGTCAAAGTACTCGGAGAAATGATCCCTCTATTTGGGTTTGACAATTCCTCATTTCTTTTATTCTTAATGGGTACAAAGTCAAAGCTCTGAGATCTCGGGTGCACTGTGCTGTTTGGAGAATTAGAACGAGCCGGTTTGATATTGCTTGTGCTTGCCCTCTTCGCTGGGTACTCCCCTCCCACTAGGTTAGGCTGGAGATAAATGTCTTCTCTATCAGCCGGATTCCTGGCTGCCAGCTGAGCTGGTGTTGTAGAACTTTTCTCCATCTTCTTCTGCGGAGTGGGTACAACATCGGGCGTGGTGATCACACGTGGGCCTGGACTGGGTCGTCCAAATGTACTCGCATTTTCATCCGATGTGATGTAGAAAATGGGTCGTCTGTGTGGTCCTAGTGCAGACCCAGTGTCCGTATCAAAGACGCTTTCAGAACCGATGTCGCTCGCCGGCTCTGGAGAGGAGAGTTGTCCGTTGGAGACGATCCCATTCTTCCTGGAGTCATTGTCATCATTGAGCCAGTTGAGATGCTGAGCGTGGATGCTGTTGCTGTACAGCGGACTATTTGGGTCGCCGAGACCGATATGCGCCAGGTAGCTGATGGTGTAGCGCGCCTGCTTCCGCTTCTTGTGCTTCCTCCACTTCTTGTAGCAGCACCACAACAACAGCACCACAACAGCCAGGAACAGCAGACAGCAGAACACAATGAGCACGATGTACCCCGTGTACAGCCCTGAGTCGCCGTTGTCGTCGTCGCCAGGGGGCGTAACTGCGGTAGAGTTGTCCCCCCCACCTGTGGTCTGAGGAGGAAGTATGGTGGTTGCGGGTGGGGGGGGAGTGGCGCACTGAGCGGCAGGACAGCCTGTGGTAAGAAAAAAAAAAAATTCAGCTTCTGACTTTTTGTTGTTAGAAGGTAGTGGAGCATACACTGTAAGTACCTACTCTAAGGTATTGAATAAGAGTGCCCCGATTATTAATTTTCATCTATTTTGCGCAACCCTTCTCCTTATTCCATACCCCCCGTTTATTATTTTCTAGACAATCATTTGAAGCATATCTAAAATCTAGATATCAGAATGAAACTGTCTTCTTTTTTGTAAATGGAAAATTACCCTCAGTACTAGTACTGGTACTGGGTTGGCTACCTTAATGTTCTGTGCATTTTAAAAACTTTTGTAAATTGGTTTATATTTTTTTATGAAACTGGTTTGTTCCTAAATGGGAAAAGTTGTCACAGAAACTTACTTAAATCAGTAAAATTTCATGATCTCTTGTTCTTTTATTCACTGAAGGAGAAATAAAACAGATTTGTTCCAACTAGTAAAAGGTTTGAGGTTGAACATGCCATTCCCCCCCCCCCCCACCCCCCACCCCCCACCCCCTATCCTTTTTATTCCAACCCCCTCGTTTATCAATTTTTGAACACTCTTTTATTACTACCTCCCCCTCCCCCTTTTCATTCTTTACCTCAGAGTATACTATTAGTACCAACTGCTTTTTCTTTATTATACTGCTTATCCGGAAATGTTGAAAAACCCATTATCTCTCATTTGAGAGCAGACGTTTACTTTGTGTATTGTAGATTATTTCATTCAAGGACTGTAATGTATTGTACTTCCAGATACTTTTATATTTCTTGTATTTTTAGTTCATACATATACATATATAATATATATATATATATATTTTATGTTTTTGCTTTTATGCAGCCTAACACTGTCTTCCATTCAGATTCAGTCATTAGTCCTATCTTTTTCATATGTTTGATCACATAATGATTAGTTGAGGCCAGTGTGAGGAAAAAAAACCCACATTTAAGTACTTAAAGTAAATGCTTGCTCATTTTTAGCCCATTTAACAACCAGGAGGTGGTTGGTTGGCTGGCACTTTGCTTTGGTTTGCTCTTGTCAAAAATCTATCGTCTTTATCTCTCTTCTTTCTTTTCTTCGTATGTTACTCTCTCGTTAAATCTCTAATCTTCGGCACTTTTATGAACTGTGCTGCAAGTGCAGTAAAATTCTCATTAAAACCTGACTCACAGTATTGTAGTCACCCATATATAATTTAATATAGAATGGCATGCCATGACCCCAAGACAAAGGGTTGTAACTAAGAAAACCCAAATTTTGGAATTCTTAACCAGGGGCTGTCCTGCCAAGGGGAAGCAACAAAAAACATATGAGGGTAAAAAAAAAGCAAACAAAAAATGGAAAGCTCAAAACCGTTTCTAACATACACATGGCATAAAATATCTACTTTTGGTGCAAAAATGAAAAGAAAGTGGAAAAAAATTAAGTGATAAATAAATAGGTTCAGTAGTGCTACAGAGGAATCGGTCAAAGATAAACAGTAACCCTTTAAAAGACATAAATTAGTGAAAATGGTGAACGGGTATAGGTATAAAAAACCTATCAACACTATTAAGTTATTTTAGAGGTGGGACCTCCAAGTTTAACGTCCATCTCCGAAAGGAACCTCCGAACTCGCAATCTCACGATTACATCAATTTCTTCCTAATATCAGGCCTCTTTAGCTTTATGTTAAAAGTTTATCATAATTGATTGATTAAGAAGGCGTTTTACAGCATTATTGAAAGTTTATCATAATCAACCCTGTTGACAAAACTTAGAAGAAACCGATGAGATTGACAACTGTTGCTAGTCACAACAACCTGCTGCACCAGAGAGCACCATATACTATTTCAACACAGAAGCTAAAATAATTTATTAAAGCACAACAGACAAAACAAAACAACAAACAGTTTACTGTTTTATGGACTCATCATTTCTTACAATTGATAACGAATTTTCAGCTCCTGTTGTTGTTTCAATTTGACCTGAACGCTAACTTACAATCCCCAGAATACGCTATATTTACCCTGACCTCTTCATCTAAAAATAATAAAAATGCACATTGAGGACCTCTATGCACTGGTTGTCATTACATATTATATTTATCAAAGGTATAGACTACTTTACCAGAACAAAATCCCACTCAAATAGAGGTAGGCCTATTAATGAAATTCTGTCCTTGAATTTTTCAAAGTTTATCAGTTCAATATTGACATTCACAGAATAGAAAATTTATTTCAGTTGGAACGTATTTAAATGTAATGAAACATAGATTAAACTTCTCCAGACCACAAGATTGCAGGCTACATAAAAACGAAAGCGGTAAAATGGTGCGCAAATACAGAGCTATAGAACCACTGCACATAGGGCACTCTGAAATTGGGATTTGTTTTACTTTCACTCCCATCTCATGCTTAGGTATTGTATAGCATTTTTCTGATTGATTTTTATCCATTTTTCTTGAACTCAAACTTAAATTTCATTGCAAATTATTAGTTTTTGAAATATTTGATGTTAAAATTTTCATTTGAACTACAGGCGCCTACTTTATTTTGCGTCATTGTGTTTTAATATTTCTTTTATTTCTTAAAATCTGAGAAGTTTTAGAGACATCGCCCGCCCCCATGCCTTTTTCTGTTTTTTCCCGTAATCTGATACTTTGTAATAAGGGTTGAGATTTCCATTGATTTGCCACAGTTTTAGTGCCTGTATGTGAGTCTAGCAATCAAAAGTACGT